TGTGAAGATAGGGACGAAATTTCTGCACTGACCAAACGATGCCGAGGCACTCCTTCTCGGTGAATGCCCACACTATATATATGCTTGTGAAGTTTAAGCAAGTGAAGGTGAAAAAACAGTCCTATATCGCACTTGTCGTACACAGTTATCATCGCACAAATATAAACACGCACATTAGCACTGCCAGAACTCTTTTTGTAGGAAAGGCTCTTTGTTACACCTATTAAGTTGAGTATTCTGTTTCCTGATATATGTTGAATCTTCAAGATTAAAATTTTTTTGCTTTTTTTTACTATTACACTTGGGTCGGGCAATTTTTAATTGACTTTAATGTCACTGCTGACATCCTTCGATACCTTCCGTATCATTGTGAACTTCAGCGAAGGTGTGCTGCTAGATAATCTTGATGGCTGTAGGGGCATTTTGTTCATTCTTATGTTGCGCAAACATGGGGCAGTAGGTGCCAATTTTTGTTTGTTTTGAACACAACTCTCATTTTCAGTAGAGTTTTTATTCTGTTTGTTTGTTAGTTGACACTATAGCCTTGAAGGGTGCATACTTACATTATGGAGGTAGTCTACAGACTCAAAAGCCCTGTTGAGCATTTGTATGTTGAAGGGACGCAAAAGGCAAATATAAATCTATGGTCAGTGCTAAAAAACCTTATGCAAAACATTGTGGTGCTGGTATCATGCTGAAAAAGTGCTTGAAGGGCCAGTAAGCAACCCCGATGTCTTAAATATGTGATCGCAAGATAACTATGCACTTGCACGATGTGACCATGCTGTCAGAAAAGTTTTGTGAGGAATAATGTAATGAAGTTAGGGGGGGTCGTAGAACAACCCACTTTGGCTGGTTTTGGTTTCTTTCTTGGCCTTCCTTCCCACTTTTCTTCCCACGTGTCAACAACGTCATAGGCGCGCAACCAACGATTGAGAAAACCTTCCTTTATTAATTTTTCCCGTTCTGCCCACAATGCGAAAAATGATTGGGAAGCAGCACACTTGTTATGGGTGCTTCGTTGAAATATTTCACTGAAGTGAACTAAAAGCGACCTGCTGGACAAAGCGTAACTTGCTATCAGGAATTGCACATTTCAGGAAAATTCCTACTAAATGAAACTATCGGTCCACATTTCATTGATTGTAGGATGGTTTTGCCACCGTTGGGTTGCTCTACATTCTGACCAACTCTGGAAAGAATGTGAAAGGCACCATGTTGATTTCGCATGAAAACAGCGCTCTGGGAATAAGGCACAAGTGCGGCTTGTTGGGCAGGTTGGTAAAGATGCTTAACTTTGAATGGGTAGCACATAAGACACGGATAAAAAAAGATAGAGACATATAGATGCTTGTTTTGTCCAAGGCTGTATTTTTTGTGTCCATGTCATATGCGATACCCGTTCGAAGTTAGTGTTCTGGGGACAGCCACTACCTATGAAGAAAGGAAAGCTGGATTTCAGGCACGCCCTTGGCAGACTCCCCCTCTCCCATCTGTTTTCATGATTAGTGAAGGACTGCTGAATTTATTTTCGTCCTACATTCAATTTGGTGCCGCTGTTACTGAAGCACTGTTACAGAACTGGACTATCATTTATGATGCTGTCTGTTCTTGGTATTGGCATCCATCAGGCCTAAAAAGAGTTACAGAATCTATCGTAGTAGCTAAGTTATGAAACATTTTTTTTCCTTGTTCAAGTTGTTTCATGCTGATTAGCCTTTGCATTGCACATGTCATCAACAAAGCGCCTTATACCACAGGGTGGTGTTTTCTCTCTCTCTCTCTCTTCCTTTTTCGAATGGTTGAAGAAATGAACCAGTTAAAATCAAATGATCAAGACGTGTAGGTGGGGCGTCATGGACAGGGTTTGAGCTGCAGTACGTGAAATAAGCGACGTACCGTGCACATGATAACCTCAAGTAATAATGTCAATTAGAGGAACTTGGATAATTGTGCATTGTGGTTTGTCGAGAAAAGAAAAAAAGCTCTTGTCATAGCATTTCTGTAGTATCTGCTGTGAGTGCTGTAAAAATTTGATAAATGTGGAATGATTTATAGTACTACATAGGTATGTGCATTTTATATATACAGTGAAGTCTGCTTGCGTGATATAGTACGTTTAATCAATACATAGCTGAAACAGCTTCCACTTTGTTTTTGGTTTTTATCTGTAGTTTTGTGAAGGCAGCGCATATTGCTCAAGTGAAACCATTTGCTTTTTCAACTGTCTACTTCATACGCTATATTACGAATAACAGGCACTTTTTTTTTGCTTTTGTGGCAGTGTTTGGTTAGTACATTGCATTTGTGTAGGTGTAAGGATTGTTGCCTTTCACTCAGCATAATTTTCACTCTTAACACAGTTGAGCCTGCTTATAAATAACCTGAACGTGATGCGACATCCGTTAACTGCGTCCTGAAATTCGTAGTTTGTGAAACACAGCTAGAAAAAAAAGTTGCGAGTGAAAACCTGAATTGTGTTTTTCCAAAAAATGTCCGTGGTTTTACATACTTACACTTTTCTGTCTGCAAAAAGTAATCTTAATGCTCAAATACCAGTAAATTACGTAGCATTTAAAACCATGTCGTATGGGGTCTCGTGCATTTTTTCTCGTGCTGTGTCCACATAGGCTTGCAAAACTAGGTGACGTGACTGGCTTGTTTAGGACTTTGGGGCATTTGATTATATCTGCTACAAATTTATTAAATGAGTGCAATTCTTTTGTGTTGATTTACAGGACGTCACCACTTGTGTCCCTAGAAGTTTGAGGTGTAGTTTGTTGTATTGTTGTTTTCTAAAATATAGTAGAAAAGAAATGAGTGTTATAGCCCCATCAGACTGCAAATCTAATGCCATTTACAACAAATGACATTAAGGGGACCTAATGTAATTTTACTTGCTTGCTGTCACACGATGAAAAAAAATGTCATTTCGAAATGATGACCATGAGCTTAGCCCTCTGAGCCCTGGATTTTGGGAGAGATAAAAATATACTAAAACTTTCATGCAATGTGTGTGTATGTAGAAAAATAATTTTTGATGATAAAAAAAAGCGCTTTAGGGTATAAACACGGCCGTTTTACACTTGCCATGGCTTCATGATACACGCGAAAACCAACACGGCCGACGGTATGTGCGACCGGGCGCAAGTACAGTCTGCTGAAGTGGGGCGCACAACTGACTTCCCTACTGCAGAGATGAGACGGCCGCAGCGATTGCGCGTAGTCACCACTTTGGTCACCACAGCAAGTGCTATTGAACAACCAACATCTGTGATACAGGCAAAAATGACAACAGAGCAAAAATCAAACATGGTCGACATCCAGCTACTGTAGTTGAGAGTAGCTTTTTTTTTAATTCTTTTTTTTTAACTTCTGCATGTGATATTTAGTCATCAAACCAGTAATAAGTTGATCTAGTAGAGAACAAGATACAGTTGAACCTGTTTTTAAGACATGCACTGGGCAGTACTTCTTGCCTCTTATGAGTGGTGTCTTGTATAAGCAGGGTTTCACATATGCACTTTCTTACGAACCCTCGTTTCAATGAAGGCACACTAGTGTCTCTTTAAAGGGATTTGACTGTATTTACAAACGATAAAAGTTACGTACGCGTAGGTTAACAGTCATCTTCCTAAACGTCTGTGGTGTTGAGACTGCCGTTTGGTCTGTGATCGAATGTGAATGTGTTTCGGGCGCTCATTTGGCAGAGAATGTCATTTTCATTAAATGGCATTAGTTTCACCATGTGACAGTAAACAAACGACATTACAAACGAATGACATTTGCCCCGAAAGACATTATATTTGGCGTGTGACAGGGGTATTAGTCACTGCTTATTGGTCTTTTTTCCCTCAGTAAATTGGCACAGTTCTTGCATTTCACGTAATTGTATACAATAATTTACAGTCATTTGACATTGTTTTAATTTCTGACTGCATTGTTACAGACAAAAATGTGGTATCGTTTTGTAATCGGCATGTGAAAATGTTTAGAATACAGATAGGCTTTATTATTTCTTTTGGCAGATTTTGTTTTTCTTGAAAATTGTCAAACGGTGACTTCTGCCTATAAAACATTCTGTAAGCAAAAGCTTCTCTTGTGAATTTTTGTTTTCCCTACTAAACATTGCCATATTCATGCATTGTCTCGTGCTTTTTTGTATAGGCTTTGTCAAGGAGTGCAACACTCATTTATTCTGACATGTTGCAAAATGGCTAAAAGAGGAGAAGGAAAAAGTTTTCGCAAAAGAAGCTCTGTTAGGGGAAGACGGAATTTTTTAAAGCACAGAAATGCTTCTTGTTGGTTGAGCATCTTGCGAATTGCACATTTTGTCATTCATTGCACCAGTTGTCACATTTCACCATGCACCCGGGTGTGGATATGATGTGGGTACAGCTGTTTGTGTACCTTCTTACTGGTTTTGTCTTGCAGTTAATAAAACTGTTGTTCAACTGGGAAATCCGAGTTTTGAGGTGACTGGCCCAACTTGTGTGTCTTGCGTCTTCACTTGCCGGGATGGATACGAAGTTCTGTTAATGGAGGTCAACAGGCAGAACGCATTGGCACACTTAGAGTGTGAGCAGGTGTTATGTTTTGCAAGCACAGCCTTCACTGCAAAAAGTGATGCCAGCATGTGTGGGCTGTAGTTTCTGCAACATCGTACGCTAAAGAATCCCATGAGTTAAAGAGATAGTGTGTTCTTGGACTTAGCCCATAATCCAATCCTGGGTTTGGCTTGTAGTAGCCCACAATTAAATTCGATTGGCATACGTCCCATAGAACGAAGTATGGTGTTGAAGGAGTTGGAGAATGAATTGCATCGTTGGCTGCTTGGCTTATATGCTTTTGACACAAACTTATCTAGTGGCCATCGATGCAGTGCGACACCCAACAGTCTATTGAATTCATGTACTATTGTCTCTTTCACTTCACTGCTTCAAAGATTTGCCTGAAGCTTAATTGAAGTAATGGTGGTGTTATTCTCTAACTCTCTTCAGACCAAACTAAAGAAAACGACATTTCTGCTGAGCCTTCAGTTCCCCCAGAAGCCAATGATGTTGACAAGGAAGAGGACGATGAAGCTCCGTAAGTGAATATTTCTTTTTTATCTTTGTGTTACTAGGAGTTCTTAGATTAGTTGTTCGTGGGAATGGGTGGGGGTGGGTGTCCGTTTTATATTTTAAGTTTTTGAAAATCTCAAACCTTAGACTGCTTATTTTTCTTCTCAAAATACAACTTCGTGACTTTTTTGAAAGAGCTTGTTCTCTGAGTTTTTTTATATTTTTGTTTAAAGGAGCCCTGCAACACTTCTTGATCATGGTCAGTAAAATCTGCCAATCGGTAGTCATTGCTGGCAATCAGTAGTGGAGGCTCCCAAGAACACTCGAGCCAAATAATATAGCTCAGCTCCGGCCTGGAATTTAGAACAAATTCTTAGTCAGCTGAAAATCACTGTCGAATGAACAACGCGACAAGCTTAAAAAAGTCTCAGCGTCACAGGCCACGTATTAGCCATTGCCTAATTTAAGCATGGTGCGCTCGATTATATCTATGCACATGGGTGCTCTGAAAATCCGGGCATATGAAGGAAAAAAAAAAGGTGCTTAAGGTCATGAGGCCATACTTGCCTACTCTCTCGAATTGTCCGAGACACTCCCAAATTTCGATCTAGTCATCCGATTGTACGAATGCTTTCACAAGTCACCCAAAAAATTGGCTGCCACAGTAGAGGCTTTTTTTTTAATCATGTTTGTACATCAGGCCTTCCTGCTGGGACAGTTGCGGTGCTTCGGGATAGCACTTGTTTGTACGTCAGGCCTTCCTGCTGGGACAGTTGCGGTCCTTCGGGATAGCACTTGCCACTAACTTCTAGTTCACTGCATTCATATCGTAGAAGTTTGTACCACGCATATGGGTGAAGGCTTGTAGCTGCGGGACACGCTCACCACCGTACCAAAAGAAGGCAATGGAAAAAGTACTACGGTTTTTGCATCTGTCTGTCTTGGCCCCCACATTTTGTACGCTAGGCTTACGCCACCTGCAAAGGCGTCAGTTGTGTTTGTTACTTGGCAGAAACTGCGTGTTTTCTTCAGTTCAGTTGTAAGGTCGGTGTTGGTGTCAAAAGCAAATAAGCACTTGCAAGCGTTTCGTACGCAGCTGAAATCCCATGCTTTGTGACTTCGAGGAAGGGTGACAATTTTGGATTCTGTACAATGTGCACTTGTGATGTAAGTGTTTTGAATGATGGCAAGGCCGACAGACTCATTGCTTCACAGAAGCATCAGAACTACGCTCGGATTGAGAAGAGCAGAGCAACATCTGAAGTTTCATCCAAAATATCTGCGAAGGCAGTACGATCCACACAGAATGCCTATTGACTGGATGTTTGTGGACCTTACTGCTAAGCATTAGCGATCGAGCAAGACCTTTGTTTTGGAAAATGTTCCTGAAGTGCAAGGACGCTAAGCAATACAGGTGTAGATGCATGAAAACAAATAGGGGAAAATGGTTGCAGGTGCTGTACACACAGTGGTGGACGCACTGAAGCGTCATGTTTTCGCAACCACAGTGGACGGAAGCAATGACTGCAGGTTGCAAAGGCAGGGGTGCTGCACCAATTGTGCCATTTTGTGCCAATCTGACCTGCTGCGCCTAAACGGCAATTTGCGCGTACAATGACATAGTTACTGAGTCTTGTCTTTGACCAAGCATTATGTGTTGGATACACAAGGGAAGCCGCCTTATCCATATCCCGTGTAATTCGTTCACGTCGTGTTTTTGCTCATGCACGGTGTCATGCTTGAACTTACACGATGCATGAATCTTGCGTCAAGTGAACAAAATGGTTGAATCCTCTTATCAAGATCGCAGGTGTTTTTGCAGGGGGGGGAGCACACTGTTGCCAAGCGACTGTTGCAAAACTGTAGCCAGGTGACACTGTTTCAGGTTGTAAGGGTACGTGCAGTAACTGCTGTGCTTGGCAGTCGCTTGGCAACACTGTTGCCAAGCAACTGCGGAGCTCAGTAGCACCGCACGCGCTTACAACGTGATAAATAAATACACAAACGGTTTCACTACAACGACACAACAATGAAGGGCGCACCAAATTTTAATGTTATACAAAGTAAGGCTGGCAGCTAACTCTTTTAGATTCGGTATCTCGTAACCACAAAATGCTGTAATAGAATATGGCTGCTCGAGGTAGAAATGAACGTTTTGCACAGTCTCTATGCATTGAGAGTGAAGCACATAGAAGGTTATACAAGCCCTGCACTGATGCTTGCTGAGATAGCGCATAGCCCAGCGACTGCGGCCGTGCACTCATATTGAAAATTCACAGCTGCTGCTTGAGTGAACTCACTATTCATTCCTCTGTGTCTTTCATGCTCGTTCATGCGCTAAAATCTTGCTGTTTTGACGGTGAGATGTTATCGCATGTGCCCTCAGAGCAACGGAAACGGGCCGGCTTGTTTGATCTTTGCTTGAGCGCTCATAATCCCCGCTCGCACATTTTCGCTAGCGTGTGAGAACATACAATGCGCGGGGCATGTTGTCAACTTCGAATTTACACGAAAAATGATGACGATGGCAAAAACCTGTCGAGATTGTAATAAAAAAACTTTCTGTGTCATTGCCTAGCAACGGCGTGGCGAGTGCCTTGCTTATCTTTGTTTCCCTCGCGGTTTTCATTTCGGCAGTGGAACTTTATTGTATGGAGTGCCTTGCTTATCTTTGTTTTCCTCGCGGTTTTCATTTCGGCAGTGGAACTTTATTGTCTGAAAAATAGGAACGGCTCGTGCAGGATAGGTAAACTGTAGATTATTGGAAGAGGCCTTTGCCCTGCCACAACCACTCTATCTCCTCCCCTTTGATGCAGCCCGCCAAATGCTCCTTTCTGGCTGTCAGTGCTAGTTTCCTTTCAGCCCATCGCATCGGCTATTGCGCTAACTATCAGCTACGGAGGTGTTTCTCCCAAAGCTCTCTTCAGCCAGAGTGACCTATCTGCACCAGCGGTTCCATGTGTTTCTGATCACTGCTTCATCATGCCTCACTTAGAGATGCTCCCATGAACAGGTTACATCACTTTAGCTGAATTAGTGGCCGATGACTGAGTGATGCATGCGGTTAAAGCCAGTGTACAGTGCTATGTCACTGCACTTAAGGAACACCAGATGGTTAGAAATTTCTGAAGATGGTTGGAAATTTTCATAATCATTTCGTGGCTTTTGCACGTAAGGCCCCAGATAATAATTTATTGAGAAGGAGGATTTTATTGTGTCTATATCGTTCATTCGCTGCAATTTGAGACTTTTTACAAGCTAATTCAAGCCCAGTGAAATTAAAATCTACACATATAGCCTGCTATCATCGCTACTCAGCTGTAAATTTCAACCACAATATAGATATTGAGGTGTTTTATTGACATGGGCACATATGCGAAAAAATTGTTGGAGCAGAGTTAACGATATGGCCATCAAATGGCCCTTGCGCCATAAAACACCACACATCATCATCATCACGATATTGTCAGTAGCAAAGAGGTAAGTTTTTCTCAGTTTTTTCGGCTGCTGACCCGCATGGCGCGGGTTCGAATCCCGGCTGCGGCGGCTGCATTTCCGATGGAGGTGGAAATGTTGTAGGCCCGTGTGCTCAGATTTGGGTGCACGTTAAAGAACCCCAGGTGGTCGAAATTTCCGGAGCCCTCCACTACGGCGTCTCTCATAATCATGAAGTGGTTTTGGGACGTTAAACCCCACATATCAATCAAGTTTTTCTCAGTTTTTATAAAAAAGAAACTCTACGTCTGTATTCGATGTGTGTCGTAAGACCGCTGTTGCACATGAAGTGAAGTAAGGTCTAATATTCTTGCGGTAATATGTGAAAGCACACTAACTAGCCCAACAACAATTAATTTTTAGAGTAGATGGTTCTCCATACACACGCTCCATTAGATGCACACGGCAAGTTTGGCTGTCCAATTGAAGCAGCGAGAAAGCACAAGATTCTCGTCTTGCTCTCGCTCGTACGACCAGGGGCATAGGCAGATTTTTGGGAGGGGGGGGGGGGGGGGGCACTGGTTTGGTGTGCCACCCACTGGCTACGCCTCTGTGCACGGCAGCTCAACATTGCACTAACTATCTTGTTAATAATTAAAACATACTCCAAATTCAGTATCAACTATCACAAAGGGAGAGCTTTGCGGAAAAGTGGTTTCTGAAAAAGTCTGTTTTCTAGCAAGCTGCTAAAGAAGCCCCCACCTCCCTGTTGGCCAGGAATAAACTCGTAAGCTTCTTGATAGAGAGCGTTGACTAACAGCAGTATGGAAGAACAAGATTGCATCGTATGCTGGTGGCATGATGAGGGATAGGACTGTCACAAACTAGGGAGTATGAGTGGGATTACAGCTTCATGCGACGCAGTGCAAGGGCGATTGCGTCCCTTGCACTGCATATGTGCAGCGTCCTCACCTTCCATCGTAGCTGGTCAGTCAACTTTTGCTCTCACACGCGCTCTTTTGACTACTCAGCAGGCTGCACCAAAAGGGGGAGATCGAGCGGCCGTGGTCCTGCAGTCGACTAACACAGACAGAGAATGAGGATGATGATGATTGTGGATAAAATAAAAACAACTTTTATTAGCTCATCCCTGGTCGTCGGTTTATGTTGATGAGCGAATTCGACATTTTAACATTAACATTTTTAATTTGTCTGAGGGCTGCAGTAGCTATCCAAAGCATTGTTTATGTCTTGTTTTTCTTTTAATTACTTTGCTTTCAGCTTTAACTTTTCAATATTATAACCATTTGAATTTTTTTGTTTACCAGATAAAGAGAAACTTGTCTAAGAGTTGTGTGACCCTAAAAATTTCCTTTGTAACTAACTTTCATTGCTCCAAAACATCCTTTTGGTGCTCTAAAACTGCTCTAAAATTCCTCTTTTACTGCTCTAAAGCTGCTCTAAACGACTGAAGCCCGCTTCTACCCCGCAAATGTCTGTCTCGGTAATTTTTGATATGCAACCCCCCTTCCCCCCTCCTTGCCGTGGTGTCGAATTTTCATGTTGCTCAATTAGCAGGCATGTGAATCGTGCGTGACATAATTTTGTTCCTCCGTGCAATCCCTTCCTGCTTAGCTTCCAGTGCTTTCATCGGGACGATAGAAGAGAGAATGCAATTGCACTGTGCGACGAATCTTTGTAACTCTGCTTGTACTGGGATATATTCTAAGAATTTTTTTCGGCGGTGAATTCATGAGGCAATTAACCCCTTTAGTGAACCCATTCCTTCTTTGAAAAGTGTTGCAGGGCTCCTTTGACGAGGGAATGTGGAAGAATCGGCACCGACAGTTCTTTAATTTTAACATGTAACACTATATCACAGAAGCCGCATTGAGCTTTTTTTCTGCGACGCAAGCCACAGTTGTAGTTTGAGTAAACTTGGGTTACTGGGTTTTGCAGTAAAATTTTGATCGATTACATTTTCGTAATTTTTCGGTTACTTTTTGGGGATGTAATTGACCATTGTGATCAGCTGCATTTCAAAGAACGTAATTATAATGGGTTACTTATTTTCTCTAACATGTACAGTTCTGGTTTTAAAACATGGTGACCACATGGGTGCCTCAGTGAAACAAATGCTTGAGACCAGTCACCCAAGAAAATACTCCTTAAAAAATATGTACTTATGGAATGAAGACAAATGTGCAGGCCGGCACGGGCCGCAACTGAGAGCTTCGCGGACCGCGCGCTTGAGGTGCCTGCTCTATTAGAACTTTAACAAGATGATAACCTGATTCCTTTTGCTAGAAACTCCTTCCTCATGTGTGCGCTTTTACGAATAAATTTAGTTGATAGTTTGAATTTGTCCTTCTTTCGTGTTTTTTTTTTTTTTTTTGCACCATAACCTTGTTAAGGGTGCTAGTGTGTTATAGTAGGTATTTCATGGTGAAGTTTCGTTGTAGCACCAAGCAACAAAGTTAGGGAGTAAGATGGCAGAACAGAAATGCACTATCAACTGAGCTTTATTTTACATTGATTACAAGTATGAATCCAAGAGAAGCAGTACATGGTGCCAAGACTGCCTCATAAAAATCTGGCAGATTGACACATTGTCATGCGAAGCAGTGAGTGAGTCGCAGCCTACGCCATTTGTTGCTTTGAACCAAGTGTTGTGAGGATATCGACTTTCTTCACTTTCACTAGTTGTGCGCGTGTCGTGGGCTTACCAGGCTTGTTGACTTCACCAGCAGGCAGGCAAGTAGGCAGGTTCGTTCTCCCCTGCATCTCCCCTGTATAAGCGCAGCACATCCACGAATTTCAGAAGTATATCGTTAACTAGCTCCACTCCAAAATGTCACAAGTTCTCTTACTTAAGAACATTGTGAGCAGTCAACACACGCATTTCTTTATTTTTACGCACTGGCGGTACTATGAAACGACAATACCATTTTTCACTATAATACCACCAGCAATACCTCTAGAATTTTTTACAAGAAGCCATGCAGAGAAGCCAACTTTGCCTAATACTTGAGCTTTTTTTTTATGTTCTCTAATAATAAAAACGGGTCCTTGTCTCTATTATATGTGCTGGTTTCATAAAGCTTAAGAAAAAAAAAAGAATCGGTGTGAATGTGAGTGTACTTTCAGACATATTTCAGGAAGTGTAAAACTTTTTTTACAGTTTTAACCCGCTACATACCGGGTTTGTGACAGTGAGCGGCCTTTGTTCAGTTTTCTGTCATTAACAGTTCATTAATTTGACACTTGTTAATTTGGAAAATCTGATAATTTGGATATAATCCTCCAGTCCCGATCAGCATAATTGGCCGCTAGCCTGTTAATTCGCACAATCCCGGGAGAGCAGCAAGCACAAAGCATCTCAAATGTGGGGCAGGGCACAAAGGAGTGAAAAAGTCATTTGAGTACAACCGAAACGAGGCTGCCCAGTCTGCGTTAGCATCTTTGAGGTATGCTAACGGCAGAAATGCCAGAAGAACGCTTCATGCTTATTTGGGTTTAACACTGCATGTAACACTTTGTTGGTTTGGGGCAATAAAGAAAACTGCCCAACATACTGGCGTGAACGACAAAAACCCATTTCCTCTTCCAAACGATATCGTAATAGGTCATCAACTGATGAGGTTGGTTTGGGCCCTAGGCCTGATGCCAAATGCCAACAGTGCAACTGTAGTTGTAATAGTGTTCATAGCCTTTGCACCGGCAACTGGATTAGATGTGGGGCTGTATAGCAGTGCGCTAACTTAGCGGTAATGTATATAATCACCTCCTTACCTGTCCATTGTCATCTATTGCTTTTTTTCTTCCCCGTTCTCCTACACCGATGCAGAATAGCAGGCTAGAGTATACTACTACTCAGGCAGACCTCTCTACCTTTCTTAAATAAACCTCTCTCTCTCTCTCTTATTTTCGGCGGCAAAGGCGTCAGTGGCTGCGCCAAATTTCGTTTGTTTTCTGGCAGAAAAAAGTTACCGTAACGTGCGAATGGTGGCATGGCATAACATAATAAGAAAGGGGTGCTGATCAATTGTTAGGCTAATTAATGCACGAGGTTCTCGGGCTGTGGCCATTATGAAATGAGCCGCAGGATGGCAAAAATTTCGACTTTTACATTGCATGAATGCAAAATATGCACAGCATTTATATTCATCAAAAAAGCTAGTGCATTGATGTAACGGACATTTGTTGATTGTTTCCACTGTACTTTCGACAATGAGGAATTTAGTTAATTCGGACATTTTTTTTCGGTCCTGTGAAATCTGAATACATGAGCTTTTACTGTATTACTTTTGCTTTTGTAGCCACAGTATTGACATAAGTGATCTGTAGTCACTGCATATGTCTCGTTATGCGATAATCATTTTCTGCCATTTCTTACCAGGGTGACAGCTCCGGCACGAAAACCCAGCAGTCCATCTCCGAAGAAGAGATACCGATCAAAGGTTGGTAGCTTTCTGCATGGCTATTCATGTTGTCACAGGGCGTTTTGAATGTAATGGTGTAGAGTGAAAATGTAAAGGTGCAAGGTAGTGGAAAACTAGCAGTCTGTGTGCTTCACAGGCAGAAATGACAATTCACGCCAGTTTCTTGTGTAAAATAAAGTAGAACTTTTTTTACATCTCTGTTTGCATTCTGGAAACGTAAACATAACTTCTCTACATCTCTCTTAGTAAAAGAAGATCTTGTTAAATTGAATTTATTTCCCAAGCCCTACAGGTTATTTTAATTGAAATTCTACTTTACATTAGCAAACTATAATTACCCCCAGACTAGTGAATAACTCATTCACATGCAGCATTTTCTTTATTTCTCTAGTCATGGTGGGAATCAAGAACTAAGAAGAGGCGAAGAGAATCTGATGCTAAAAGCAGCTCCGATTCCGAGACTGAACAGGTAAATCTTTGATGCTCAGTCTTGGGTGGGGCTGAAATGCAAAAACACTCATGTAAATAATGTGCACATTGCAAAATACCAGGTGGTCAAAATCAATTTGTAAAGACCCATTGCTCTAGTCCTCATAATCATATTGTGGTCTTGGTGCATAAAACCCCAGAATTAAGTTCTTGTTTTTAAACTGTGGGTCTTCAAACTTTGAAAATCATTTATCAGCAGCAGTTTTTTCTGTTTTCCTGTACATATTGTGTCATGTCCAGCACAAAGTGTCTTGTTGAGGATTGAATTTCTTAGTCTTTCCTCTTTTTTTTTTTTTAGCCTTGCACATATTGTTGCTAATTTTATTGTGCTCACTACAATAGTTCAACAATTAATGCCTCGACCAGCTTTCTGTGATGTTTGAAGGCATTTTTGTGAAATTGACGAACTGTACGGACATATTGTTACGGTGCATCATCAACATGAGCAAGCATGACACTTTTTGAAGATGATGAAGACGATTGTGCATTTAGCGTTTGCGCGAGAGGTGGCTCAGCCATCTTGTTTGGCTGCCAATTCTCTGTGGCCGTTACACATTACACCTATATCTCGCCCCGTCACATTTGGTGGAGTTGCCGAATATCGACTCGCAATGGAACTCTGCTGCGGTCATAGTTTGCAGGATCTCGCTACAACAGTGCCGGAATATGCGGCTTCTCCTTCTGCAACCGGCTGCTCTGAGGAGGATGAGGAAGATGCGCCGACTGCACCTGCTCCTGCGACAAAAACCGTCGTGCTAGAACACCAATGGAATCCTGGCATGTTTTGTGGTCCCGGCGATTTAAATCAAGTGGACGTGGAGGATTAGCTGGCAGAGTACAAACGCTTGAATGCTCGCAACCGTTGGGGCCCTCTTTTTCGCTGGCCTACCTTATTTTTTACCTCAAGGGAACTGCCAAAGTGTGGTACGAGAACCACGAAACTGAACATGGAAGTTGGGCGACATGCAAAGAGAAAATGCTAGACTTGTGTGGGTGAAGTTCGGCGACATTTGAAGAGAGAATGCTGGACTTGTTTGGGAAGCCCATCGGGCGAAAGATGGCTCGCGTCTTGGGCACAGACTTCGACGGAGTTGTACGTCTCGTATATAGAAGATGTGTTAGCATTGTGTCGCAAAGTCAATGCCGAGATACCGGAGGCTGACAAGGTTGGGCTTATTCTTAAGGGGATCGCGGACGACGCATTGAACCTCCTCACTTCCGAAAATTATTCTGCAGTTGACACCATTATAAAGGAATGCCGGCGCTTTGAACAAGCAAAGAGCCGGCGAATTGACAGCGTGTTTGCCCGCCTTCCGAATACGACTGCAATGTCGTCTTGCGAAGACTGTTCACTGAGCGTGAATGCCTAGCTTTATTGCAGGCCGTGACAAAATTCAGGCCCTACCTTTATGGCCAAACTTTTTCCGTGGTTACAGACCATCATGCTCTCTGCTGGCTCTCATCGTTAACAGATCCATCCAGACATCTCGGTTGCTGGGTGCTGCGTCTGCAAGAATACTTATTCGTGGGGGAGCCTTCACAAAGACACACTGTCACGTCATCCGGCTGAAACACCCGACTTGACAAACCTTGAATCAGACCCTACGTGCTCTCCATGCACACTTTGGGTGATATCTCCACTGAACAATGACGCAACCCATCGTTACTCTCCATCATCGAGTGTCTAACCTCTGCTCCAACAGACCCTTCCGTTTGCCTGTTTGAATTCACGACAACAATCTGTACCGTCGCAGCTGCAACGCTGGTGGCCTTGAATTGCTACTCATGCTTCCCCATCATCTGCGTACCAGCGTTCTCTAACAACTCCATGAGCGTTCTATAACCGCCCTATGATGTACCTACAGCCGGTCACGTAGGCGTCTCTCGTACCAATGATCGTGTGTGACGTCGCTTTTTCTGGCCCGGCCTGTATTGCTCTGTGGTTCGCTACGTCACTGCTTGCGACCGCTGCCTACACCGCAAGCTTCCCTCTGCGCTACCGTCTGGCCTCCTACAGCCCATCAGCATACCGACGAAACCATTCTTTCGTGTTGGCCTTGACTTGTTTGGTCCGTTTCCTATGTGTACCAATGGAAATAAATGTGCAGTCGCCACAGATTACGCCATACGCTTCACCATCACTTGAGCGCTACCAACAAGCTGTTCCACTGATGTCACTGACTTTCTCTTGTGTGAAGTCCTTCTTCAACATGGCACCACGCGGCAGCTGCCGACTGATCGAGGGAGGTACCGTATAAACCGGACTATAGGTCGAGTGGGAATATAGGTCAACCCCCCCCAAGTTCAGGTTACCGAAAAAAAAAAAAAAAGGAAAACAAACCGAAACTGCTGAACCACATTTATTTGCGAATTGGGCGCACCGAACCCCGATCGTCGGAGCTCCCCTCAACCACCATCGCAACTGCTCCTATTCGTCCGACGAAGCACCACTGTCTTCTGAAGACGAGAGTTTGTCGCTGGCCGCCTCCCACAGTGCGTCGTCTTCAGTGCCATCCAGCGAGTTGCTGATGCAACATTTCTTGAAAGCATTTTCCACCCTGGAATCCGGCAAGGAGCGCCAGGTGGAAAGCACCCAGCCACAAAGTCGCAAGCGGAGGCCTCTGTAGGTGGCCCGTCGATGTCTTGGGGTTGTCGCTGGACATCCACTTTTGGTATTCCAGCCGCACTCGGTCCTTGAACGGCTTGTTTTGCACAACATCGAGCGGCTGGAGGGTGGACGTCATACCACCTGGTATCACGGCGAGGTCCGTTTTCCCGTCGCCGAGAGCGCGTTTTACTGCGTCGGTTAAGTGGCCACGAAACGCGTCCATCACCAGCATGCTGCGAAGACGCGGCAGTGCACCTGGCCGACGGTTCCACACCACTCGTATCCATTCAAGCATCATGGCCTCATCCATGTATCCCTTTTTGTTGACGCGAACGACAACACCGCGTGGGAACACTTCCTTCGGCATTGTCTTGCATTTGAAAATGACGAAGGGCGGAAGCTTTTTATCATCTGCCATGCATGCCAGCATGACGGTGATGCGCGAGTGCTCGTTGCCAGTGGACAACAGCTTCACATCCTTGGCGCCGCACTGCGTGATCGTGGTAGACGAAGGCATGTCAAACCACACGGGGGTCTCATCGGCGTTGCCAATCTGCCCCATAATGTAGCCAGCCGGCTCATGAAGCGCTGAAAATTTATGAGCTTGTCCTCGAACTCCTCCGGCGACTTTTGACAGATGAATATGCGCCGCCAGAGAGAAAATACTTTGCGTCGCATAAATCGACGCACCCAAGAGTTCGGTGCACGAAACTCTTCTCTCGTGAGCCCAGCTTATCGAGCGAGTTCCACGGCTTACTTGCGATTGGTATCCACGGTCACTGGCAGTGAGCGCGCACCAACTTTCCGCACAAAGTCCGCTAGCTTATCCTCCAGCTGCGGATGAACGGCACTTCGTCCACGAAACGACATTTTTCGAGGATTGCACATCAGCAGCTTCCCTTTCTGCGCCCTCCAATAGCGCACGCTTTTTTCCGATACACCAAAGCGGCGCTGAGCTGCCATATTCCCGTTCGGTTATGCAAACTCAACAACATCTATTTTAAACGCAGCTTAGTACTGCCTCCGCGCACCGCTAGACATATTCAGTGAAATAAAAAAAAAGGCCACTAAAAATGCAGCGCAATGTCAAGCAGAGCGAAAACTCAGAACAGATCGGAAGCAAATCACGAACACAAAGAAAACAGACGGAGAGAGAAAAAAAAAAAGACTGCGATTGGGTTTGGATGCGGATATGGCCGCGTCAGGCTTCACAAGCAGATGCAAGCCACATGTTGCCAGACAGTGTCGCACTTTCGGCTAGACTCCGCTTTATAAGACGAGGGGCGAGTTTAGCTTATTATTTCATTGAAAATATCGCGACTTATATTCCGGTTTATTCGGTGCTTCCTTTCACGTGTTTTGGATGACATCCTCTGTGCCTGCTCCACTGAGCACAAGCTTACCATCGCTTATCATCCAGAGATGGTGTGGCCGAGCATCTCAACCGAATGCTGACGCAGATGCTGTCAATGTACTTTTCACCAGATTGCTGCTACTGGGACAAAGCTGTCCTTTTGTCACCTTTGCGTAGAACTCTTCACAGCACGACATTGATAGTTATTCACTTGATAGTTATTCACTGTTTTATTTGGCATTTGACCGACATCCAGCGTTACAATTTGACACTCTCCTTCCTTCGGCCGCTCCCTTGTCTACTGAGTATGCCAGCGATGTCGTTTCTCTAGCCCATGTACCTCGTCAGCTTGCCCATGACCGGGTTGCAAGAGCACCAAAAAGACCGTTATGACAGTCTCCACCAAAGCGTGCACTTCCCGCCGGGGTCTTTGGTCCTTCTCTGGACACCAAACTGCCAATTCGGCTTATCAGAGAAGCTACTGTCATGCTACAATGGCCCCTACAAAGTGTTACGACAACTCGGAGACCTGAATTGCGAGGTCACATTCCTGAACAATGCCTCTTCAGCCCCCTCACTCCAGACGGATGTTGTCCACGCTTCCAGACTCGAACCATATCGCCCTGCTAGTTTGCCGCCGCCATACCAAGCGCCGGGACGGCACTTCCGTCGCGGAGTGTGATATTATGGTGCATCATCGACATGAGCAAGCTTGGCACTTTCCGAAGATGAAGATGATTGTGTCTTAAGCGCTAGCGCGAGAGGCGACTCAGCCATCTTGTTTGGCTGCCGATTCTCTGTGGTCGTTACACATTAAACCTATGTCTCGCCCCGTCACGATATCATGAGATCAAGTCAGAGGGACATCACTGCTCTTTCAATTTTTGTCTAGGATGACTCTGGAGCACCCACACGACAGTCTCCACCTAAGAAGCGTCGAGGCGGCAAGTCGGACAAGCACTCGCGGCACGTCCCCATGGTGGTGCTTCGTGATGTATCTGAAATGATGGGCACAAGCAAAGGAACGTCCTTCACCGTCGAGCAGAGCAATGGAGTGGTGACATCCGTCACACAGCAGGTCAGTTTCATAAGGACACGCTTTTTGTGCCGTCCATATTGTTCATAAGTAGAGACCGGATTTTAAGCAAATGCCTATTTTGTACCTTGCATTCCTATCGTTCCTCATTGATATACGAGCACGATTTACAGGTTAACAAAGGTTTTTTAAATGTTTTTATAATGCCTATCAATGCCTATTTTCGGTGTTTGTGCCTAATTGCCTATAGGTGCCTAGACACTCTGTGCACTGCAACTGGTGAGCCTCCGCACGGCCATCATAGCAGGCAGTTGTCGAGAGCCCAAGCAGATCTAAACGCTCCCCCGACGCCCACTAGCGCGTAGATCGTTAGAACCATGATCTGCAGCGTTGTCGATTGTAACAACAGGTACACGTTGTGACCTGCAGAAACAATTTCAGTTTCTCGACTCGCCCCCGCTTTATTGGGCAGCGCAATAAGGGGATCATGACTTTCAAAAGGATTTGTTTTTGGTAGAGTTGGTGCTTACTTGGTGCAGGTGACTGAGCCCCAAAAAACGTTTCGGGAAACGGGAAGAGCAAAAGAGAAGAAAGAACAACGCCAACTACCGCCTGTTTAATGACAGTCTAAAAAACACACAGGAAAAAAGAAGACGATTCCGAGCATGCATGCACAGCCAACGAATGTCATACAGCGACATGGTCAAGGCAATAAGCAATCGAAAAACCGCATTTCTGTGGAATACAACGTCATAGATGTTTCACTGATACAATTGGGCCCTTTGTTTTTGATAAAAAAAAGCTTCCAAGAGCTCGCTAGCTGTTTGTCTGCTACTCCTACCAAGAATCACCATTTGCTCAAAGTATGGCACACATCCACAGGCTTTACAGTGTGCAGGAAGATTTGCATAATCACTTTTGCCTAAACTATTGGCATGTTCCCTCATTCTCTCTCATCGATGCAGCTCCCATTTGTCTGATATAGGACTTTCCGCAGCTTTGAGGTGTCTCATATACCACCCCTTGTGCGCAGTGCCTAAATAGTTTAGTGTGCTGCTTCTGGTAGCCCCTTGGCTCATCACATGTGATACGCAGGCACAATTTAGCCAGCTTGTTGGGAGCTGAAAAAACGACTGGGTTGCCGTAACGGGTAGCCACCTTCTCGAGGTTATGGCCCATGCAGTGCACATAAGGGACCACCTCTGGCTTAAGGGGGTGGACGGGTCTTTGGGACCGAAAAATCGTGAAAAAACGGTTTTTTTTCAATGGCATTTTTTAATTCTGCAAGCATTTTTACACCTGCCTGCCAATTTTCAGACTCCGGAAAGCGATAATTTACTTGTTATATTATTACAAAGAGGACTCGCGAGCTCGATTTGTGCAGAATTTGACGAAAAAACCACTTCTTTTGCGACGCAGAGCTACCGTTTGTCGAAAGGCATAGCCGCGATCTTGGTCTCGTTTGAAAGCGCGTTTCTTCATTTTTCGATTCCCGCTCGAACAACTTTGCTGCGCAAAAAAAGCAACCGAAAAAAAAAACGCGGATGTACGCGGCGCTATTTGTTGTTCAGTGTACGTGGCCATGAGGTGGCTACTTCATTGGCTGATTGGGCTCGCATCGTCTGCTCGACGCGTGAACGTGTTGTGCCGCTATACCGCCTATGCTTTGACAGCGTGCTCGCGATTGAAGTTGTTGCAATGCTGGGATCACCGCGAAAGTTTCACACCCGTCATAAGTTTGGTAAAAAATGAAGAAAGGCTCAGGCAAACAACTTCAAGGCGCATCTTTTGGCGAGTAGCGTCAATGAAGAACGGGATGGTTCGCGCTGCCGATGCCGCCGACGTAAGCTTGACGGCCTCGCCACCCTGCGATGTTCCCAAATTTGACGCATCGCCGGCACATCCATCATCGGAACATGCAGATAAACATTGCGCACATCGAGAATCCACGACCGCCATCTCGTCCGCGTCCGCCGACGGCAAAGGAATCGCCGAGGCGCCCGAGACAGTCGACGGGGAGTTAGGCCCAGTGGGTCCGCCGGCCACCGTCGCTTCACAAAGCAGTGGCCGCGTCCGCCGTGACACAACCTTGCTAACGGAATCGGAGCTGCAGGTAAGGCGTACAAAGGCTAATTCGAGGCTGCAGGAACTGGCATCGACGGCCGCGTCGAAGAGAAAAATTTGAGTTTTTGAGGAACGACGCATCGGCCGGTGCCGCTCCCCCCGGAGCAAAGCGAAGAGGAGGCAAGTTTTTTAACCGCCGATCTTAGCTGCATCGGTCAACTGCTCGATGCCATGAGATGTAAAGTTTGCCATGGAAGCGTCAGTATACACAGACAGGAGAGGCAATACGGCCTTGCCGTGAAGGTGTGTGCAAGTTGCATGAACTGTGGCGACATCGCGCAAGTGTGAAGCTCTCCGCGAGTAAATGGCACACAAAAAGTGAATTCGTTCACCGTCGATATCCTCATCGCTCGAGCCATGCAGGCTACAGGGAACCGTCAAGCGGCTATGAATGATATATTTTCGACCATGAATATATCTCATCACGGACTTCACAAGAAAATGCGGCAAAAATATGTGAAGCAAAAATTGACACCTGCAGCTAATCGCGCGGCCGAAAAAGTGATGGGCGAGTGCGCGAGTGCAGTTCGCGAGCTGTACAAGGAGCTGCATATTGACTATGCTGATAGTATTGCAGTCTCGTACGACAGCTCGTGGATGACGTGCGGGCACTGGTCCCACATATGCGTGGGTGCAGTGATCAAGCTCTTCACTGGCCTAGTGCTTGACTACGTGGTTTTGAGTAACTACTGTGCCGGGTGTGAGCGTGGACCGAAGGAAGACGACCCAGCATATCAGGCTTGGCAGGACACCCACATGTGCCAAAAAAAAAAAATACTACAAAAAAGCTGGCGAAATGGAAGTTCAGGCAGCTGTGCTCCTTTTTGAGAGGTCCCTAAAAAAAATGGCCTGAAATACACGCGACAATCTTGTCAGATGGGGACAGCCACACCTTTCTAGCTTTGCAAGAAGCGGATGTCTACGGCTTCATAAAAGTACTGAAGGAGAACTGTGTCAATCACGTCCAAAAGTGTATGGGCACTGCCCTACGCAATTTAGTAGCAAGACAAAAAGGAGGTGCCTGTGAAACTCTTGGAGGAAGGGGAAAGCTCACCGGGGACCTCATCACAAAGTTGAGTTCTTATTACGGCTGGGCGCTTAAATCTCAAAAAGGAGATGTTGACGCCCATGCGCAGGAGACGTTGACGCCATGTTGACGCCATGCTCCTTTGGGCGTGCAGTTGCATTGGCAGCGCTACCTTTCAACTTCTGCAGCAGGGATTTCACCATGGAACTAGCAACAGACTGAGGGTTGCCGGCCTTGGAAAGTCTTTGAAGCTTATTCAAAAAGCTAGCTTGTGTAACATGCTCACATGATCTGTGTAATGCCAACTGCGTAATGCCAACTTCAAGCAAAGCAGAGCGATTCTGCCCTTCACAGTCTTGGAATGCGCTTAGTCGTAGAAAAACAAATCTTTCTTACTACGTGGGACGTACGCACAGCATACATGATGATCCAAGATCGTCAGGTTAAGGTCCAAAAACTGCAATGACCAATCCTTCGGAAGTAAAAAGTGTTTGGTTCCCACTCCATTTGCTGTCTCGCACTCTGACGCTGCATGCTTGAATTACTCTGAGGCATCACTTCTGCTGGTGCAATGATTTTGCGCGTGATGTTTCTGCTGCCATAGAGCTTCTAAGGAAAGAAATGTATGCGAGGCATTTCAATTCAGCTCGAGACTGATAGACTGTTTTAATAGGCATATTATTAACCCGCCATCTACTCTTCGCAGTTTTGGGGAATGCAATGCGAGGTCAATTAGTGCTTTGTTGGATTGATAGGACCATCAGATATGGGGTAAGCTAAGTAACTTAGCGTAATATATTACCTTCAACACAACTAGCTGTCCAGTAGCGCTATGTGCACTTGGTTGGATTAAGCTGGCGTTGGTCGTTTGGTTGACCCTTATTAAAATGGCCTAACCTACCATGGAGGATCGGCCATGAAATGGGGGGTGCCTTGTTATATGAATGAATTTGTTTATTATCTAAAGATTTTTAGTGATGAATTGTTTTCAAAATAACTTATTAGTTTAACTCATGAAAAAAAAAGACTAATGTTGTGGGAGAATAAGCTTGATTTCGACAACCTTAGCATTCAATTCGTCCGTCTCGTGTAGTAAATCACGTATGGCATTGCAAATGATCTTGTGGCTAAAATCCAGTGCTTTAGCTCCAAAAGAAAGAACCACCGGAAGGGGTAAATTGAATCCCATCGTACGGAGTCTTATTTTATTGGTAAGCAATCCTCATGTTAGGAAGAAATAACGTAGGGCGTATAGTAGCAGAACTACAGGGTAAACAACAGAGCTTTGGGAATGGTGTAGCGACGAATGTGCATGTCAGTGTTTGTTTCGGAAAGTAACATAAACAACACAATGGATTGTAGTGAATGAGAGAGACGTGACGGTGGCCGAAGTGACTGTGCCGTCGCCGTTGCCTCTTTGCAAGGTGAAGCGAAAGACTAAACGAGGCTGCGTCATCCTCTCTCTCTAGCCGAAATCGTAGTGCGTTCTCTTTCTCGCTCTTAGCGAGAAAGTCTTAGCGTGCGCTGCGCGAGTGGCGAGGTAAAGACGATCGTGATGAGCAATCATGATGCCGCAACAATTTCAAGCAAAGCACTTCGCGAGACTCGGCGGCTGAAAATCGCCCCTGGCACGAAGCCGCAACAAACGAGCACACTGCCCGGCCACTCACCATGTTATCTATTACGGTTGGCGATGGAGCCATCGATATTTGTAAATGCTCCGATTGTTTTGCAAGTACGCGGGTAGTGTGCACACACTAATAATATTCTAAGTGTGCAGGAATGACAGCTTATCGTGACAGTTATGAAGTAAGCATCTTGCATTGCACACACATGACGCATGCATTTAGCCTTCAGTACTGACGACGGGCAGCAAGGCGTTCACAAACATGTAAAGCGTGGCCGCTTTCGTGCAAGTTTTCCTATTTGTTCATGCTGGCATCGCGAAAGAATGTCCACATAGAGGGACATGTCTATCGATATCTTTAATTCCTTGAACAGTTGTTAGAAAAAGCAAGAAGGGAACAGTGGCTTCTCATTGACGTTTCGGTGGCTGACATCGCAATAAAAGAGAAGAAAATCTGCAGTTTGAGCTAATCTGCTGTTTTGCTACGAATTCCTTAGCACTGATTGTTTTTTGTTCTCCCCCTATGTAATGCCTATATGGCGTTGTAGGTACTCTGTAAATCAATAAATGAAATGAATAATATTGTTCGAAAACCCCACTAATCCAAGCATAAACCTTTACACTCTATGCTGTCGGCACGCTCCAGAAAGGAGAAAAGCGCTGGTTGCTAGTCCGGTCCTCTTTGCCCGATGAAACGGTCTATAGGTCCCAAGCGGAGTGTATATGGGAACTATTCAGCCTCAGATTTCACTTTAAAGTGCAGTTTGAGGCGGTTATTAATGTCAGTGGCCAACATTGGCCTTTAGAAACAGTGTGGGGTTCAAACTGGCTCTCTCGTTGGAACTCCAATGGGGTCAGCCAACTTTTATGCATATTCATGCAGGTGTTTATATGTGTGTGTGTATATAAGCATATGTGAAATTGAAAATATTTCACGTTGTTCGAACCCTCCTTGCTATGCCAGTGTTTGCTTATCACTTTTATTCTTGCTCCGCAGGATGGTCTGAAGGAGGCGTCTACTGCTTTTGAAAAGCTGCAGAAGAAAATGTAAGTTGTGTTTCTCATGTCCAAACAAAAAACACTACGAGTGCAGCGGCCCTGTGCTTAAGCAAATCTATGTGGCGAGTGGGTGATTTAGTGCAGGTATCAGAACCTACACTTCGAGAGACACGACAGGATAATCTCAAATATTTAGACAATCCAAGAAAAATGGATGTGTGCAATAACTATGTCTAGCTCCTTCTCCTATTTCTCTTTTTTTTATTGATATTACGGGATATTTCGTTAAGCCCCTATTGCTGGCAAACCTTTCTTCATTCATTTTCGTTTGCATTTATCTCACCACACCTCAGTGAGAGCTACAAACGAAGCCATTTATGACTTTCTTGAATTCGTTGTCTCATTACTTCACATGGTTGTTTTAACAGTTGAAATGAGGGATCAGATGGCAGGGAAGATAATTTTCTTCGCAGCACACATTTAACTGACATGGTGTGCACATGTTAGCGTTAAAAAGTGAGGACATTTGCACAGCACCAGGCAGTTTTTTCACTGTTGGTCATGGGTTCTGTGCACTGGATGATAGCGCCACATTGAAGTCTGTATAACTGAGTGACCGTAGTGCTTGCTAAGCTTGTGTAGGCTCGTGTAAACAGAAATATAAATCGGCGTCAGAAAGTGCTACAGCGGCGCATTGTAGCCTTTTGTCCAGTCCATGTTGCTAACATGTTAGCCTGGGCAGGATGAAAAGCACGGTGTCGAGTAATCATGATCAGGAATGGCAAGCTGGCATACAAGAGCCCATGTTGTCCTTTATTTGCAAACGCACACATATCTTTTTGTTCAAACGTGGGTCTTCTCTAACGAAAGTTGCTTTCACTACTACAATGTCCCTGTGGTTGCGAAGACTTCAGGTAGCTGTAATTTTTTACCGGCCAAGTTTCAGTGATGGTTAGAAATTCTTGGCCCCCTCAAGGAATATTCACCTGCAGTACAAATTTACCTTTCCCTCCCCCTGCGAGCTGAGTGCACGACGTGACCACTGCATATTTTCTTGTGGCCAACGCCCCTCAAAGCTCAACTCAGGAGTGCAGGATAGTTTGTATGGGTGTGACGGACAATCTCTTATCGTGTGAAATGGTGTGGCAACCAGCTTTCATGTCTTGAACTGCTTAGTATGTACCATTGGATCGAATGTAAAATTTGTAAGCCTGAAACGGGGCTGCAGCCAGTGATTAGCTAAGCCAAGATGTAACCAGTGACACTAGCAGCATCAGCTGGCAGCTTTTAGATTGCCTCCGTTGTTGTGGCAAAGACAGCCTCGAGTTCATGCTCGCTGGCACAAATCCTGCTTCGTCGAAAATGGTGGCGTGGTCGAGCTAAAGCATCGATTGCTTGTCACATCGACCTGGGACGTATACAAAATATTTTAATCTGTTTGTAACGAGCTGTTTAGAAGAGCTGCTTACGGCATATTTTAACACTAGCAGTGTCACAATTCGTTGTGGTTCTAACTGGGTCTTTCTTTGGCTTTTGTAACGGGCGCATTTGTGTGCTGCTGCATCGGCACGCCACGGCCCCTGGATGAAAAAACGCACGGTACGGCCCGCTGCGTCGAGCAGCTTTCAATTGGAGAGCGCATGACAGCTGTAGTTGCAGTTGCGGCCGCTGCAGCGCGACGGGGTGAGGACAGGAGGGATGGGGAAACGAGTGGTGGCGGCTCCCTCGGGCAGCAGCCGCAGCAAATTAGCTGATAGTTGTCACAACAGCGACGCACTCAGTTGTTCTAATCAGTGTTTTTTGAATCTCATTTATCGCAGTAATTACACATCACGTATTTAGTAGAGTACGTAGGCGCTATCTTGAATTGAATTTTCGTGTGCGTGCCGAGCATCTCAATTTTTTTTTTTTTTTTCAGAACCAGCTTCTTGCTTTGAGGCTCAAAAAATATCTACAATGGATGTAGCTGAATTATGTGGCACTGAATGCGTGACAATGTTGTTCTACTTATGAAGATGCGTTAAACTAAAGTATTTCAATTTTTGCGATGTTAATTCAGCACCTTCGTATTTTTTCAGCCAGAACGCTTGACAACTAATTTTTAGGACACTTGGCAATATACGTTCATAGTTTTTATATGCTGAAAACATATAAAAGAAACATGATTTCAATATTTTTCATGTTATAGAAAGTAATTCAGCTTCACTGGCGTGGAGTGGCTTGTATCTAGAGCAATGACGACGCTGAGTATAATAGGCATCAACTCCTGAAACAAAATCATCAAATTGCAGGGATAAACTCAAGCTATATTTATTTATGCGTGGCATTCACTTCCCCAGTGTGTGTGTATATATATATATATATATATATATATATATATATATATTATAATCTATGACAATCTAGGAATCTCGCTCCGCATTTTGGCATTTTGCTACGAGCATGCATCTTCCGCGGCCGCCCCACCGAAGCGGCGGTGGCGGGTACGTGGCCCTCGTCCGTGTGAGGTGGGCTTGCACCCCACGAGCAGGCGTTGCCCCTCGTTCTTGCTTCGCGGTTGCATGCGCTGGTGTGCCCCCGCCCCCCCTCCCTGCTAAAAAAAACCCTACTTTTGCGTGTTGGCAGTGCCACGCTTTTAGTTAGCGTCTCATATGTGGGGCCGCGCTGCATATGGAGGGTGCTTTACCTAATAGTTTTCCGCGATGTCTGTGTCGTTCGTATTTCGTTTTCGATGTCGTGCGCGCGTGCATAGTTTCACTGCGCGCGCATAGTGTGTCCCACGACGACGTTCAGCTTTGCTTTTTTTTCATTGCGATAGCAATAATGTATATAGGCAGTCTCTGCTGTTTTTTTTTTTTTCGCCTTCATTTACCCTATATGTGTACAGACCCATATACATGAAAACTCGAGAAAAAAAAAAAGCCGCCCATGCTCGGCGCCCAGCTCGTCACAATGCGCCGACGCGTGCTTATTTCCCATGCGTACCTTGCCCCGCGAATGCAGGGGGAATGGGGGGTGATGCTTCTGCGCGCGCGCTTAACCTTCGGTGGGGAGAATCGCGCGCTTTCGACTTTGACCGGAGCGATTGGGTTTGCCGAGCGCACAAAACTTATTTCGCTTTTTTCACACAGTGTCTTCGTGTTGAAACTGCACTGATATCAGCTGAGACAGCAAGCAGCGCCAGTGATCGCGACCGCCCTTAAAGTCAAAGTTCATTATTGCTACTCAAGTGATTCCCCCCCCCCCCCTCGCGTTGTTTCATGCTTGTTTAAGACAGGTGGTTTACTTTATGTTTCAGCATTCGACGGCAGTTCTGACACGCGGGAGATGTTATGCACTTTCTACTCGATAGAGATGGACTGACTCATTTGATCTCTGCTTCAGCAGCGCTTGCGCGCTTTTATGCACTCGTAAAAGTTACTATGCACGGGGGCATGTTATCAATTTAGACTTGTTACGGAACATGGCGGCGACAGCAAAAACCCGCAGAGAGTGTCCATACAATTGCTATCGCAATAATAACGCAGTTTTTTCTGTAAAATAAGTATTTTGGGTTAGCTCTGCCGTCAGTCCCCCTTTTGTTTAATTTGGTGTTTATTTTCTGAACTTTCGTACCGAACCTGCATATAACGAAATTCTTTTTATAACGAACTTTCCGGGAATTCATCAATTTCGTTATATCCAGGTATAACTGTGTGTGTGTGTGTGCGTGCGTGCGTGTGTGTGTGTGTGTGTGTGTGTGTGTGTGTGTGTGTGTGTGTGTATATAATATACACGGCTGGGTCAATAAGTGACAGCCACGTTTTAATATTTACACATCACAAAACCATGGCTGCTGTAGGGCAGTCAAGTACACGTGCCTTGGTTTCTGCGAGCACAGGCGCTAGTTTGTCTATGATACATAGTAGAACAAATAAACGGTAATGAATAACAGAACAGCATGGCGGAGACTGCCAGACGACAAGCACGCAGGAGTACTATCGGGATTTGCCAGTGCCTGTAGAGAGACCAATATGAAAATACCGAATGGATGATTTTATTGTCTATAGACACATAAGCCAAAAGCTGGGTGCACAAGATTGAGGCAGAACAAAAAAACAATAAGAAATAATGTGAAAAGTAAACAGAGACGATTATAGTAGATCGTTTATGCCATTTTATTTTTCCTACGGCAGCTCTTTCCAAAACGACCTTCTTTACAATCTCCCGGCTAGAGGCTCTCAACATGTGTGTCAGCTGCCAGTATATATATATATATATATATATATATATATATATATATATATATATGTTTTTTTTTTTAAATATAAAATTTTGTCGCCCACCAGCTGCTTTTCGGCACCTTTTTTTTGCCTTCGCATGTTTTGCAGGTGTAAGTTTGAGTCTGTGTGGCATTCCGCAAATAAACACAGACAGCCCAACTACTTCACTGGAAGGGGTGGTCAAGCTGTTTTACGAAAAACGAACATCAGTTCCACATGGCCTTCCGGGAGATGTACGACGTCCACAACGCGACAGCATTCGGAAATAACCAGAACTAATGACAAAGGTGCCAAGGGCCTAAAGGCAGGCATTATAGAAGGAAACTAGAGATAAGGCGGGAATTAAATAAAGAAAAAGCTAGAGATAAGAGAAAACGGGAAGGTGGTGTCAAAACTCCTGGATGCAACAACGCTTGCAGCCAGCGGTTGTGGGGGAGTGAACATAAACATATGCTTGTCAGTCGCGGAACGGGGCACCTTTTGTGTGTGACTGAGTGTCGCCAACTAATATGCACTAATATTCTCCCTGAAGATATTGCCTACCCAGCTGTGAAGCAATTTTTAACTGGTTTTTTACGTAAAGGTTTAAAGGAGGAAAAAAAATTTAAAATATACCAGGATCAGGCCTGAATTGAGAATAAATAAAATATTTTCACGCAATTTGTTTCAATTCTGTGTTCACTGTTGGATGTAAGGTTGAATAAGTTGCATTATTATTAAGAATGTCGTGACGAAAATAGAGAAAAACATTCAAAAGCGTAGGAACGTAAACATTTGTGTTGGCAT